TGTTTATGTATATGTGTATATGTGCATTGGGACATTACTATATATATCACATGTGTATATTGTGGGGTTTTATTTGTTATCTTTTATTAATCTTTCATTATTCTTCTCAGCCTCTCTTGTATTAAGCTGCAGTAATGTGCAAATTTCCATAATGTGGGATCAATAAAGTTTTATCTTATCTTATTTTATCTTATTTTATCTTAAAAACAATTTGTATTCGGTAGATAACTGGGTTTTTGCTATGAAACTACAAACATGGCCGAACGGGGTGGAGTCGAACGTTCAGCGACCTGGAGGGGGCRGGGTGTGAAATATCTCACTTGTATTTAAAGAGACTGCACCAAAACAGCTTGCTCTGAGGCGCAACTCAGAACAGGGGTAAAAGCAAGTAAAGCAAGGAGTCTGTGGAGCAACAAAAACGAGGAATTAAGACCAAAGCGTTGCAGTTTTATTTTAAATAGACCATAAGTGAATGATTTAGACGTGAAAAAGAAGGATTTAAAAGCATGATATAATACCTTTAATATCGTCTCCTGTTCTTTTTCAGACGTGTCCTGACAAATATGTTTTATGTAAAACACGGCTCCAACTTCTGATACTAGAGACAATTAAGTCCTGCCCCCACACTATTTCTGATTGGCCAGTAGGCCTGTCTAAAGTGAAAGCTGCGCCTCAGATTGGCCCAGAGAAATGTTTGTTAAATCTGTTTTCCACGCAGTAGCGCATCAGATTCCAGCATAGCGAAAGTGCGCTAGTTGTTTAAAAATTAATACCTCGTCAGATGGTGTTTATTACCTTTTAATACTTTTTAATGGCTTTAATTTTTTGCTTATTTGATTTACTACCTTTTAATACGTTTTACAACCCCGCGGATACCCTGAATAACACAAGCATAAAACAAAACAATAAAACTGTACCTCATTGGCCGCATCGACTCCAGAGGAATAAAGATGAAATCAAGACAGCTCCTTCTCTAACAAAAGAAAACACACCACTTTTCTCTGGTGAAACTTATCATGATGCATGGCACAATGCTCCATGTGGCTCTCTGTGTGCGCCAATCAACTGCACCCCAGCAGCAACAACGCAGAAGGTGGAGTAAAAAACAAGTTCCGCTATATCTTAAACATTTTTCACCAGAATAAATTGACCTTACATGCATTAATTTTCTGAAAGTTATTACATTTTAATATTGAACATTTATTTTTAGATATTAATATTGGTTTGTTGCCCTTTTTAAACTAAATAACAAAAAAAAACCCACAACAAAATAAATAAAGCGGGTAAAATAAATATTGAACACGTCAACATTTTTCTCAGTAAATATATTACTAGAGGTGCTAATGACATGAACGT